AAAATAAAAATATTACAAGAATAAAATAGTAACATCACGAGAATAAAGTCTAAATTTACCAGAATAAAGTAACAATATTACGAGAATGAAATAGTAACATTACGAGAATAAAGTCTAAATTTACCAGAATAAAGTAACAATATTACGAGAATAAAATAGTAACATTACGAGAATAAAGTCTAAATTTACGAGAATAAAGTAAAAATATTACGAGAATAAAATAGTAACATTACGGGAATAAAGTTAAAATTTACGCGAATGAAATGAAATAGAATGAATGAAATAGTAACATTATGAGAATAAAATCATACCATGAAAACTTAAAAGAATCTCTGTCTTCTCTTAAATTAGGAATGTCGAGCATCTTGTGAAGTTATACTTTGGCATCGGTTTTACAAATAAGGAAATATTAAGTCTTTTAGCATCAGATTATTATCAGCATGTCTGAGACAAAGCGCACTCAGGTTGCTGTTTGGCTGTTCTGGTCGGAGCTTTCTTTCTGAAACTGGTACGATGACTTGGTTCTTGTTAAATTTTTAACTTCACTTTCGTAATATTGTGACTTTATTCTCAAAATATTACGACGTTATTCTCATAATCCTAGGACTCAGGTGTGATGTACTATTTGTGGGAAGGATCTGTGTGTAAATGTGTTCTTCTTTTTTAACAAACTAACTTTTCTACTCTCTTGTTGTTGTGCTTTAACCAAACACGACTAAACGATGCTGAACTAAAACCAGGACCAAACTGAGCTGCTCAGAAAAACCTCCTTGGACCTTTAAACTCTCGTCTGTGGACCAAACCTTCATCACATGATAAAGCTAACAACTTTTAAAGAGAAATGTGTGAATAAACAGCTGCTCTGTCCGGGAGGATGGGTGCTGTGGCCCTTTAAAGAAGGTTGGGGGGCCACAGTCGGACCCTGGGATGGCCCGGTGGCCTTTAGAAGCTGATGGAAATAAACAGCCAGGGATGGTGGACTGTCTCATCTGATTGAGGACCTCGTCCTTCTGGGCTTCAGGGGGTGAGACCGTCTCATGGCCGCAGCATGACCTGATAACGTTACTGTCATAGCTGAGTGTGTGAGGAAGAGGAGTTTTCCTCCTGAACAGTGAAGGTGACAGGAGGAAAGAAGGTGGTGGAGCTCCCTGGATGAACTCCTGCTGCATGTGTGCGTCTGCAGGTGGACCTGCAGGGTTGGGTAATTGGCTTTGAGCCATAGATGCAGTGGCAGCACCTGCTGGTTCTGCTCTATTAATACCATCCGACTCACTGGAGGCCTTGGGATGTGTGTTAGCGCAGCTGCGCTCCAGTTCATCAGGATTTCTGCCTCTCAGTCGCAGCCGGATGTTATTTCCCCTTCGACCCGCCGAAGCAGACAAGCGTTTGGAAGACCTCCGCCGCCCCGGAGAGGCAAAGCATGGAAACTTCTTGATCGCACGCAGAGCATTTCGTCTGCAGTGCAAACTTTCCACCTCAGTAGAGAACCAGTAAATGATGGGATTAGTGTGAGGAAGGATGGGGGTCGCTGGGCCGTCACACAGAGGGAGGATGAACCTGTTGGCTGAGAGAGAACTCAGGGTTTCACCGCAGACCCCTGTGATCCTCTAACATTCACATCTCGTTCCACTCGCCTCGCATTTATTATCTGTTGCTTTAACTGGTATGAGACATCAGTCGTTTTATTGTTTTAAATTAAAAAAAGAAGTGTTAAGCGATGTTCAAACCGCAAGTAGCAGAAGCAGCAAAAACGTGCGTGCTACTTTGTTTTTGATGCTTGTACAAGCTTAGTTCTGACGCGCGGCTGAAGCATCTTTGCTGGGTCTGATGCGCAGTGGGCGGAGCTACTCT